ATGAGAAGCATTTGTGACTCCAGTGCGGCACCAGGTAACACCAGGTTTACTGTGGTTAGCTCGGGTCCCAAGGCAGCCTGGTGGACGATGCTCAAGCACTCGGTCTCTACCAAGGCCCAGTAACAGGCCAAGAGCTCTCTCAAAAGGAGTCCAGTTATCTGTAGATGATAGCAGGGTCTTGCCCCAAAATTCTAAGGGCTTCCACTGGGATTCCTCTATAAAACCCAAGAGCTCTAAGCACTATCTCTATCAACCACTGAACGTTGTATCTGCTGCATCATTTAGCTCAAATGCCAGAACAACGGGAAGGGCAGTCTGGACCTATTTGCTGCAGATCCTTCTCCTGCTCTGAGCCTCACACAAAGAATATTTTCAGGTCACTCAATAGATGGGCTGGAGTGACATGCCTGAATGAAAATGGTAATAACACTCCAAATCCAAATAGGCTCACCAAGCACGGCACCTCTTTCTTGGTTGTAGGACGGGCCAGATGTAGTACCTTATCCTGAATTCTTACCTTGTCTTGCCTACCAGAGCCCTAGAACTTTTGCTGAGGTAAAAGTCCCCTGAGTTTTTTTCAGATGTATTTCCCATCCTCTAACATGCCAGTGTCTTACCAGTACATCCTGAGCAGTCACTCCTGTGTGCCTGCTGGGTCAGTCAGCGTGGTGTGGCAGTGTAATGGACCAGAGGGATTTTGTGTGGAAGGAAAACAGTGATCAAAACTCCCTGTGAATTAAGTTGTGACACCGGGCTAGGGAGTTGATGTACCTGGGGTAGGATAGTGAAGGTGTATTGCAAACTGCTCTGGTGAGTCCTATGGATGGAGATGAAGAAAAAGGCATTGCCAGATCAGTAGCTGCCAGGAGATGTGGTTATTTTCTCCAGCCATGAATCCATATCTAGCTCAGCAGCTGCGATGAGTCACCACCTGGTTAAACGGAAGGCAATCACTATCCTCTCTGATGTATGTGTCTTCTGCACAGACCAGACACGAGAGTTGAACGGGAATGGGGTAGGAACCACCACTGGTGTACCTTTCAAGTTCTTAGTGGTGGCGTCAATCTGTGCAATCCCTCCAGGAAGTGGTATTGCTTTTGATGTGCTGTTTTCCAAGTGGTTTGCATTAGGACTTTCCTACCATAATAACTCTCACTCTGCAGGTCAGAGAACCAATGGAAGGATTCTGCCAATTAAGTATCTACATCCTAGTTATAATTCTGGAACTGGAGACATGAACACAGGATGGTTCAGAGAACTTCAGGAATCACTGTGAGTCAGACTTGAACTAAAAATCCGTGGGTCACCTGACCTCTACTTCACCAGTCCCTGGTGAGCCACAGTGATATTTTAAGTCTTCTGGAATCACTGTTGATTCAGAGCCAGTGTCTGATAGTCCCTGAAAGAAATGATTATTTCCTTTTTCCAGATGCACAGTTACCCTGGGAAAAGCTTGGGTAGGTCCCTTTGGGAACGGATGAACTAAAGATAAATAATATAAATTTTCAGTAGTGTACCAGGGTTTTTACTGGTGGTGACCCAGCACCTCCTTCATTCAAGGGTCTCTGATTTGCAGATTGGTGGGATTGGTGGAGGAGCCACAGTTCTGTTTTATGATTCAAGTGAGACTCTTGTTCACTTGACCTGGAAGTTGTTTGCTTGTTCTGATCAAGTGAGAACTTAGTAGGTTTACCCTCTAGGAGAACTGGGATGAAGCAGGCAGCACCCTAGATCTCTCTGCACAAGCCAGACGTGGTTGCTGCTCTGTCTCTGCTGGCCATTGCAGTAATCCCACTTACCTTGCCTTTGACAGTCTGGTGCCCTCCTCTTCATTTCCTGCTTCACCAGGATCCAATTATTCCCACTGTGTAGCTGCAAGCTAAGGACAAGCGCTGGTGCAGCCTGGTGAGATATTTTTGTATATCCCTTAAGGATGCCCATGGAGTAAGTAGCTGTCCAGATAAGGTTAAGTGATTGGTCTATGCCGCCCTGGGCCAGCGTCACTGCCCCCGGTCTGACAACAGCAACTCTGCCACTAACACAAAGGGTTCAAAATTGGGCCTCCATTGTGTACTATATAGACTGAAATAGCCTGCCAGCATGGTAGCACCTCTCAGAGTTGATATGTCCCTCTGATGGTGAGCAAGGATCCTTAGCACTAGGGCTAGCCTCTGCCTTTGTCTGGCAAATAGATCATGTTGGTCCATCCTCTGCTGCCATCTGGTGTCCACAGCTGGCATGGTTGGTATGTGGCCCTTACCCTTACCCACATCTGGGAACCTTGGCATGCATGGTGCTCCAAGCCAGACTGTGCCCCATCTGCAGACAAGGGCAGGTGTTCACTTGACCCACCCACGGTGGTATTAGGCAGAGCATCACTTCCAGCTGCCCTGTTATGACCCGTCTCTTCCAGACTCTTTAGGACTTTGATTTGTCCCTGCAGTGGGAACTTACTAGAAAAAAGCTCACTTGTGCTCTTCTCCCTCTTGCCTCTTGGAACACGGCAGGCCTGAAGGCCTCAGCACTACTACGTGTGCCCATTGCCTGAAAACCTGTTTCCACTGATTACTGCCTGGCTAGCTCCTTTCTGCCTGCAACCTTCGTAGCTGAAGTTCCTGACCATCCAATGTTGAGAAGCTCTTCTGTAACTCCATCACTTCATCCTGCCTTAATCCTCTGAAAAGCAAAGACTTCTGTCCTTTTTGATTTTCCATCTTTAAGTGGGGAATGCAGGATCAGATTTGCATCATGAGATGATACAATTGTATATTAAGAAAGGACAGGCAGGCAAGCGAGTGCAGTCCCTGGGGAAGTAGTGCAGGTGAGCTGCTATAACAAAAGGCCCCCTTCACTCATAAACTGATCTTTCAGGTTTGTGCCAGGCAGTTCTTCAAATTTAACTCCTGACTTCTAAGATCTGACCAGTGTGGCCATTTGCAGTGGAACAAGTCCAGCAGAAGCATCTTTGTTTGATACTTGATTCACTTGCCACTAACCTAACCCAACACTGAACTCACTGAATTGCAAAGGAGGCTGGGAAATGTAGTCCCCACCCAGGCACCCCCTTAAGTCCAGTCAAACTCAGGGGGCTGGAAGCCTAAAGGGGAGAACGTCACACTAACCAAGAGATACTATGAACAAGCAAGAAGAGAGACGCCGTAGGAACAGAGAACAAGCCTTGGTGACCAAGGGTGGGAGGAAGGGAGAGAGACAGCAGACTTGGTCAACTGTGGCTCAAGGGCAGTGAGGGTGAAACAAGTCAAGGAAGAGCAGGAGTCAGAAAGCTGAGGAAAGGGTAGTGGTTTAAAGCAGGGGTCAGAGGCCTGTGGCCTGGCTTTGGAACACTTTTTTAGAACTCAGCCAGGTCCACTCACAGATTGTTGATGGGCCATGTCTGTGTATGACAGAGCTCCATGTAGACCACATGGCCCAGGAAGCCCAACACAATGACTGCCTGTCCCTTCACAGGGAAAGACTGTGGACCTGTGGCTTAAGGCATATCAGGTGGAGATGTGCCGTGGACCTGTGGCTGCTCTACAGTGACCAGGGATGAGCATCATGAGGACCAGGAGAGGCAGGTGAACCGTGAGGGTGGATAGAATTGTCCAGGGAGACAGGGAGGGGTGGACCAGGAGAAAATCTGGGAACACCAACTAAATTTAAGGACAGGAAAGAAGATGAGCGTATGGAGAACAGAGTAAAGCCCAGGAAGATAGAGGGTTCCTTTGGGAGCCTCAAAAGATGTTGGTATCTTTACCAGTGGTCCACAAAGTCCTCTCCAAGGAATGGAGTGTGGGATAGAGGCCATTTCACAGCAGCTGAACCAACAGAGGTGAGCAGGTGATTAGAGATGCACTGGGAATTCTTTCATGAAAATTATTTGCAAAGGGGAGAAGGAGAGAGAAAATGAGAGGGTGTTCTCTGGGGCTGAGAAAAAGATGGGATCTTTAGGACCAGATCCCACCACTAGTGCGTTTGGCAGTAGAAGGTACTGAAAAGCACATGATGAGAGGTGCAAGACTTGAGCTGTGGCGTATTACAATCAGTTGTTTAAATAATTGAAACTTTTTTTTATTGTTGGTTGTTCAAAACATTACATAGTTCTTGACATATCATATTTCACACTTTGATTCAAGTGGGTTATGAACTCCCATTTTACCCCGTATATAGCTTGCAGAATCACATCAGTTACATCAGTTACACTTCCATTGATTTACATATTGCCATACTAGTGTCTGTTGTATTCTGCTGCCTTTCCTATCCTCTACTATCCCCCCTCCCTTCCCCTCCCCTCCCCTCTTCTCTCTCTACCCCCTCTACTGTAATTCATTTCTCCCCCTTGTATTATTTTTCCCTTTCCCCTCACTTCCTCTTGTATGTAATTTTGTATAACCCTGAGGGTCTCCTTCCATTTCCATGCAATTTCCCTTCTCTCTCGCTTTCCCTCCCACCTCTCATCCCTGTTTAATGTTAATCTTCTTCTCATGCTCTTCGTCCCTACTCTGTTCTTAGTTACTCTCCTTATATCAAAGAAGACATTTGGCATTTGTTTTTTAGGGATTGGCTGGCTTCACTTAGCATAATCTGCTCTAATGCCATCCATTTCCTTCCAAATTTTTTGATGTGGGATATAAAAATTAGGTTTTAAGAAAACAAGGGATGATGTCCTCTAAAAGAACTCTCCACTATCTGGCCTCTTGTGCATAGTTTAACAAAAATCCCATTTGTGCACACAGATATTTAGGAGCGTATATATAGCTGTGAGTGATCTGAATGTGAATATTGCTACTTAAACGGTTATCTTAGAAATAGTTATTTTAGATCTGTAAAACCGAGGACCTGAAAGGCAGCTGACTTTGGGGAAGTGGGGTGCATTCTCTCTGTACTGTGGGCACTTGGGGGATGGGAAGGTAGTGGATTAAACAGACAACCCCAGGCCACGTGTCATCGCCTGGAATTCGACAGTGTCTGGGTCTACTCAAGGAAGGAACACACGGACAGCAATTTCCAAGCCCCCTTTTATTGAAATAAATCAGGACAGTGATCTTCTCTCAAAAGACCTGGTACAAAGCCCACATCTTGAATGTCATGCATGACATCACTGCTACTTTGGTTTGACAGTATTTCACTGCCGATCACTTTTGAAAAAGGCAAAGACAATGTGAGTGACCCCAAAACAAACAGATACTGACTCATGCTTCCATATATTTCTAAGGACCAAGCATGAAGGCTTTATTCATGTTGGACACCAAAAATCTAAGAACCATGACAGGGTCGTCCCCTGTTTCGCTTCAGAGTCCCCTCTCGCAATAATCAGATGACATCCAGATGATTCTCATCCTGAATCAGAAGATGAAGTGTGCACTGCACTTGGCATCTGTGCAAACAGCTCCACCCTCTGCCAAACAGCATTCCTTCTCCCAAGATCTCTCTGTTTTGAACTTGTTACTGTAATAGAGTGGGGGTACTCTGGGACTGCTTTTGTATTCTGTTCCCAAACACCGTGACCAATCATTGACAAAGTGGATGCAAATCCTAGGTGAAGGACATGCTGTAGGTTTCACATACTTTTAGTGAAAATGGATTATTTTCAACAGCACCAATAAATCAACACTGACCCGATAGTAAGCTCATTTAGAAGAAAACCCTTACAATACTCATTTGTTTAAAAAACCCTAGCTGTGGCAAAGGTGTATATACAATCTACTATACACAAAATACACATTTTCTGTAAACTGTATGTGTCCCGCACACTCTACCTACGCGAGTAAATTAGAATCTCAGTATTAATATCGGATGGACTGTTTGACCCAGAAATGTGCCCAAACCCATATGGTATGGTATCTAAATAGAAATTCAGTATTAAAAAAATAATAATAAACAGGAGGGAAGATTATCCTTGAATAGTGATGGACACATGGACTAGGAACGTGACTGTGTTCATTCCTAACAAAGCTCTACCCAGAGACCAAGAAGTCCCCTTGAGTCACTGCATTGCCACCAGAGCTCCTCTTGAATTTGGAAAGTTCTCGCAGACCCAGATTTACCAACAGTCTCATTCCTTCCACATTGTGTGTCTTGATGCTGAAACAAAGGTCAGACAAAATTTCAGAATCTGTCTTTGCCCTGGCCAAGAAACCATGAACACATCATCCTCAATGATTCCTACAGGACTCCAGGGACAACTGGTTCTAGAGGCCATTATCCTGTCCAACCTTATTTGTCCTGACCCATCATTTTAGTTTCTGAGTTGTTTTTTTTTTTAAAACCAAACGATCACAGAAATGTTTGTTGTAAAACAATATAAAATATTTTCATATTTAAAATATAAACATATCTAAAGAACAAGGTACATGGTTAGTGCATAAATACCTAGGAATTTATTTTTACTATAAGAAAAAATTCTTATTATGATAAATACAACCATCATGTCTGTGTTTTTGTTTGTATACAAACATACACAGGACCATATATGACACAGTCATGTAGAGTCGTTATAATAAACGTATACATATATATGCAAAATCGAACTGTCTAACCCATACATTGACGTAGATTTTCCACTTAAGATGATCTATGTTTTAATAATCTAAAAAATTAAAAAACTATAGTACTATAAATTATTTAACATGAAAGCATCAAACTTACCTCAAGCAATTTCAACCTCAGAAATAATATTGTAACGAGCTAAAAGACAAAAAAAACAAAAAAAAAAACATAAATATAACACTTGCAGGCCAGGCCCTGGGCGGCGTCATCACCTGGCAGAGGAGATATAGAGAGAGACGGACAAGCAGAACTGAGGCTGGAACGGGTAAGGGTCACTAGGAACATGTGTCCAAAATACCAGACCAGCAGAAACCAGACCCCACAGCAGAAGGACTACCCACCAGAAGCAGCAGAAGCCCAGCTGCAAGGACCAGAAGACAGGAGTTCTTCAGGGGCCCTGTTACCACGTGTGGCCAGGTGTGCTCACCTGTGCATCCAGATGGTGCGCGTCCTTACCGGCTCTCTGGTTAACAGTCAACAGTCGTCCTACGCTATCCTAACTGTCTCCACAGTCACGGCCTTGACAACCAGAACAGGGTGTGCGAGGGTGTGCGAGGGGAGACCACAAACTCCCTTCAGTTTGGATCCCACTCCCACCCCCCGTGACTTAGGGCATCACAGCCCTTTGGACCCTGCAGGATGTGCCAGGCACATCAGCACTCAGTGCTGCGGAGACCCCCAGGAAGAGGGGAAGAGCAGTGGGGTGTCAGAGCCCCTGCAGGGCAGGCATTCCTCCAAACTCATTATTTAACTTTGGCAGCCACATCCACTTACTCCTGTGTGTCTTTTCTCTCTCTCTCTCTCTCTCTTTTTTTAATGCATTCAATAAACATGCAGGCTCTATTGAAGGGCTCAGGGGTCCCTGTGGAAGGGTACAGGCAGGAGCCTGCTCAGGGTCCTGCTTTGGCCCATGGCATCAGGCCCTGGGCTGAACACTATGAAGGCCAGTGGGCTCTGAGATCATCATCAGGGGTGCTGGGCACACAAACTGACCTACTGGGTCTTCTGCCTAGCCATACCCTCTCTGAGGAACTCTAGACCAAACAACTCACCCTACCTTGGAAAAGAGGGTGTTCAGGAGACTTCAGAACCAGGTAACAAACAACATGAACCAATTCAAGCAACTGGAACTGATTCTGGAAGCTTCTGATGTGAAAGGGACAATAGGTCCTTGGATGGGACAGCTGGAGGTTATGAGAATTCAGGCTGTGAACTACAACCTCTTGGGCAGTCACCCTAATAAAATAATAACAGAAGCCAAGGAATGACAGCAGGGCACGTGTCTCCCAGAGCAAGCACCACGCCGAGGTGGCACGTGTCAAGTTAGTGTGGATTCACGCTCCAGATCGCAATCAACACAGGACTCTGGCAGCCAGTAGACAGAATCCGCTGGGCCCTGTGGCCCCAAGGCCTGAAGTATCACACAGCCAAATGGCCCCATGCACTTTCCACTAGGCCAGCGCGGCCAAAGCACGTGCAGTGAGGGGGCGGCTGCTGCTCCCTCAGTGTCACCGGGGTGCCCTTCTGCTCCTTCCTGCTGCAGCATTGAGCTGCAGGAAAAGCACACTCACAGCTTCAGCAAGGAGAAGGCCACGGTCCACGGGAGTACCTCCTTGGACCTGTGCTGGGTTTTTCCTCAACACGCCTTTTTTAAACATTACAAAAGGAAACGTTCATCTGAAACCCAGATTTCTCTCTTTTCCAGAGAAACTGAACTTTGAGGTACCATTTGCCTCTTTCTTATCCCTTTTTTCTGTCAACTTCTCTGTGTCTTTCCACGTCTGCCTAGGGAACCTAACTACTGCCCTGGCCTTTGGGAGAACAGGAGAAAGAAGAGCTCAGACCCCAGCTGGCCTCGGACTGGCCGTGGGACCTGGGGCCTAGTGGTTATATCCTGAAAATGGGGGGCGGCTGTGAAGGGCTCAGAGGTCTGTGCAGGATAAAGCAGGGCAGATGGCCTGACCCGAAGCCTAGGGCTGCTAGGCCAACACATGCCACTACCCTGGGGACATTGTGGAACAGAAAGGAGCAATTTTTTTCTCCTAATCTCTCAGGCAGAGCTACATAGAATAGATTTGTCTCCACCAAAAATAATAATAATAAAAAACCACAGAAGTCTGGGAAATCAGCCCCTCAATGCCTGCCCCTGTGCGGGGCACTTATGTGGGAGGTAGAAGCATCCCTGGAGGCAATGCCAGGCTTCTCAGGCTCCGGGGGGACTTGTTGCCTCTTTCTTCAGGCAGAAGCAAATGACCAGCCACAGAGCATGCAGTGAACTAATAGGAGAGAAAGGATGTGTGTGTGTGTGTGTGTGTGTGTGTGTGTGTGTGTGTGTGAGAAATAGCCAAGATGACAGGGGAGGGGGGGGTGAAGAACTTGAGACTGACTTGGTCACTCAGAAGCTGCATGGTTCCCCTCAGGAGACTTTTCCTGGGAGACTCCTCAGGAACCAATGGTGGAGCTGCTCCTGACTTTGCATTAGCCTGACCTGCAGAAGGACTTTCCTAGAGGGCTGGGCACCTTATCCATGCACTGACCCCTTGGCTCCCAAACCTGGCTTTGTCGTGAGATGTGGCAGCATTTGAAGTCTTTTGGTGTGAGCGCTCATGGAACTCACAGACACGGGAAGGTACAAGGGGCTCAGGTTAAACTAAATAAAAGAACAATGGGGTCTCCATGGCATCTGAAGCCCCCTCCCCACCTGTGTAAGCCCATAAGCTAAGTGGGCCTGGCTTGATAACAGGATGGACAGACACATTTATCTTCTGAACACGTCTGGGTTCCATCAGAAATATCAGTATAACACGAAGATGAGATTGTCATCACTGTCATGAACCAGAAACACTCCAGCAAGGGCTTCCACTGTCAAAGGCTGAATATTTTATCCTTGTGACCTCCCAACCCTAAGTGAGCAGGGATCCTATTGTCTCCTTTTAGACATAAGGACACTGAGGCTCCAGGAAATGCCATAGGACTTCCATAATGACACAAGACTGTGCAACAGGATTTACCCCAACTTGTACCCCAGAGCCCTCGAGAAGGGTCTTGGTGGGGCAGAAATGAATCCCTATGTTCCTAGAGCTTCTGAGATGCTGCTTCCTCTCTTTCTAGAAATAAATCGACTCCACTAACCTGAAACTTTCTGCTCCTTCCTTACTGCCCCCAGAAGAGCAGACTGGCCAGGACACCTACCAGGACTCCCCTGCAGGGTGGCTGC